TTCCCCCTCCCGGGAGATGCCCCCCCCCTACCCCAACGACCGCAGGAAACCACAGAGATCAGCAGCGGCAACGCGCAAACTTTGGCAGAGGAGAGAGGGAGGAGGGTCGCAACAACCATTCCTCATACCGCCCACGGCACGTAACGCAAAAAAAAGAAACAACCAGACAACGGGAAAGGAAATCCAGAAAATGATAATACCCCCTACACTCTTTATTCGCAATAGCGTTCCCAGCAGCAGGTGCCCGCTATAGTCTCCATCTCTCTCACACACGCCGAGTTTCTCATCCCAGTGAATTAGCTGACTGACGGCTGGCCCCGCCCCGAAGCAGCGCCTCGCGCCAGGCCATAAAACGCAAATGATACGGTGTAAACTAGCGCCGGGCGTCACGCCGAGGAGGGCCTGAGCTAGCCTGGCCGCCCGACCCAGCCCGGCCCCCCCGGGCGGGCCGCCACCTGCAGCTGCGCGGCTCCACAGCTGGCCCGGCTCCATCGCTCGGATGTGCGTCTCGCTCGGCTTTTTACGACACGGATGGAAATGTATTTTATAAAGTACACGCATGTATGGCGGAAACTCAACTCGCGCTAGGAGAGACAGAGAAACAGAGAGAGAGAAACGGCGTAGAGAGAGATATACAGAGAGCGAGAGGGGTGGTTCAGCCGGGAGGCGGACCGGAAGCTGGCGAAGAGCAGCGGTGTTTACGTGTTCCGGCTGCGGCCCCCTCGGGGTCCATTCCACTAGGGCGGCCCGTGTAGGCCGTGGGGAGGCCGAGGCCGCACTGTAGTGTGCACGACTGCAGAGCTCCGCGACGGACACGGTCCACGGAGCACAGGGGGGATGCATTGCATCCAATCATGGCCCGCGGCCGCACTGCGCCATTCGGGGAGGAGGCCTGCGGGTCGGCCGATCTGGCCGATCCACCGACGAGACGCTGCTGCTATTGGATCCACTGTGGCCCACTCGGAGGGCCGACTGTTTGAAAAGCGCCGCTACAAAATGAAAAGAACAAGAACAAAAACACGACCGACATACGGATACGCGCGCAGTAAACAAATCCCTCCCCGCCGGCCACCCTTTCGCTCGAGTGAACCGTAATCCGCGGGGTGGACCCGCGCGGTTGGTTCCCGTCCTCTGCACCACCCCGTCCAGCCCATCCCCCCGCCGCCGCCCCCGGGGATGATCCCGAGCGTCCGCAAAGCGACGTCACTATAGGACACATCAGCTTCAGCTTCCGGGTCCCCGGCTGGCGCAGGTCGCACCAAAAGCAGCATAGAGGCAAGCAAGGGAAGACTGACAAGGGAACCTTTTTAGGTGTAAATCTCCGATTTCGTTGTAACTTGGAAAATTTGAAGGTTAGTTATGTAGAAATCGGATGGCGCTTGAAATTTTTCCTGAACATCACATTTAGTTTTCCCCTATATAGGGGTAGGAGTGCGGTTTTTATGCATGGTTTTTGTGATATTTTTTCTTAAATGTAAGGCAGTGTTCTAAGGGGTAACTCATCAAAGTAGCGCCCTTTGGGCCAAAATTTTGTCCGTTTTGCTCTATTTTGTACCGTTAAGGCGGTAGAGGGATATTTGTGGCAAAAAGCAGTGTAAGGCTTAAGTAAACCCCTAGTAACTGTGAGGTTCAGGAAAAATTTCAAGTGCCATCCGACTTCTAGTACAATAACCTTTAAATTTTCCGAGTTTCAACGAAATCGGAGATTTACACCTGAAAAGGTCCCCTTGTGAGGAACGGAGAAAGAGAGGGTGAAAGAGATGAGCACATGGAGCGAGAGAGAGAGGGGAGGGGGTACGAATCCATTCCGCTCTCTTTGCAATTTCCTCTCTCGGATTGCGCCCGGGGCTGGGTGGGAGGGTAACCTCCTCAGGAGCCACCTGCCCCCGGGGCGTGTCCCACTGCTGAAAGTGAATGTGTGGGTGTGTTGTGTGGGGCACGACGCTATACTCACTGCTTTCGGGTCGGCGCCGTTGCTCGCGCAGGGTCAGCGCTGCGCGATGCGATGCCGTCGTCGCCGCCGCAGCGACCGCGACAGCCAAACTCCCTGCGGAGGCAAAAGAGAGAAGACACGAATAAGAAACACGATATTAGCAATTCACAGGAGGCGCGACACAAACACACAGCCCGGGGGAGCACCCCGACACACACCGAGTGCAATATGTCCACGATTTATTTCCTGTCATGGGGTTGGGAAGGGGGAGGGGAGCAAGTCCACCGCGGCCCCAGCTCATCAGGGACCGCCGGGACGTAAGCGGCCGACCCAAGTTCAATAAACCGAACAGCGCCGACAGCCCCGCCGCCGCCGCCCGGGCCGATCAACGGCCAGCGCCAATAAAAGGGTGAAAAACAAGGCTAATCGTAGTCGAAAACCGACGAGGAAAAGGACGAAGAATCCGAACAGATGGGGACAGCGGGCCGAGCGGCTGAGGAAGGGGGGAGGGGGGGGGGCTTCCCTGGGCCCCCCAAAAGACTGCAGTTAGGAATGCGGATGGACTATACTGCGGGCTGTTAGCAGGGGCTTAAGAGCTGATGGTCGTGAAATGAGGCGCTGATGGCGTCATCAACCAGCGGAGGCAGCAGGGGCAGCGGTACTCCAGCGGTATGGCCGGATAGATTAAAAAAAAAAACACACAAAAAAGAAAGGAATATTTCGCGTTCTGTTTCTGGCATTTTTTCGGGTCCTCCAGCAGGGGCGGCTCCAGGGTGGCGGTGGCGAGGCGCTGATGTCATTAGACCCCCCGCAGCTACTACCCTCCAGCACCCCCCAGGGCTCCAGGTCCATCAGAGGTGACCAGCCGGCCGAGCACTTCGCGGCCGTCAGGGAGAGGGGGGTGTGGGGGGGGTCTGCTACCCGCTCGAGAAAACTCTACCCCCGAGAAACGGTTTCTATCGGCGGTAATTTTTTTCTGTAGCTGCCACCCCCCAACCCCTCCTGAACGGTGAAAATCGAATCGCGAGCTGTTCTCTCGCTTCAAGCCCAGCCGCCCATACAAACCACCCCAACCCTCTCCCTCCGTCCCTCCGGCCTGTTCCTGTCCAAGTCCACTGACCATACCAATGTGACCGCGGTCTCTCTCTCTCTTGCGCGCGGGTGGGACGGGGTAAGAATGGGGAGGAG